CTGATATGTTGTCGAAATATTCAGTATATAAATCGTCGGCGTTTTTGGCACATGTGTAGTTGGCGCTGTTAATTTATTAATAAAGATAAGATTCTCTGGCAGATAAGTTCAGTTTGCTTTTATTGTGATACTTACTACTTCTTTCTCCGCCAACTATTTATTCTTGTATTGTGTTGGGATGTGGGTGTTGGTCTATGGTTCCTCTAGAACTCGTACTCACACGCACACCTCTGAAAAAAACGAATTCATCCAAATATGGTAGTATATAATAGAGCATTATTACTGTAAAGTGCCGTTATATATTCATACATTTTGAATGACATCTAGTCTTCCAAAACATACAACTTTGCTTAAGTTTTAAATTGTATGTCAATGTGTAGAAAGTGGTCTAAAATATATTTTTACTAGCTAGAAATCCGTGGCTGCACTCCGGTGTGTTCAATTCTAACGCTTTTGCTCCTTATCCCGGATGAAAGAATAGGAGTGATCCTTTAGTCTTAATATAAAAGTGCAAGTTTTTATCATTTCGATAAATTATTGTTCTAGCTGTTGGTCAGTGCAAACATTGCTTTATATATCCTGTCCATGAAATGTTTGAGGGCGTTCTAGAGACTTCCAGAAGTGTTTGACCTTTGACCTTTAAACTTTGAGCAGGCAAGATAAGACCTAATAGAAAATTTCATAAGTTTTTAAAAAGTTTCAGAACTTTCTAGATTCCTGGTTACTTCAACATCGTTCGAGAAAGATCGAGAAAGTTTTAGAATATTTGACCTTTAATCTTTCGTCTGGAACAGACGGACAGACACACAAACACTGTGAATTATTATAGTAGTATGATATTTTCATGAACATGCTTTATTTAGTAGAGTTTACCATGTCTATAGATAGAACACTACATGAGCTACGCATAAGTAAAAACGATAATGCAGCAGCGCTCCTTGCTGTTTTTAAATAAAACCCATTCCGAAACTTTTTCAGAGTATAGATGTGGATCTAGATCAACAATGGACCAACATGCATGCCAACACACTTACACCCAGCCGTTGCAGAGTCTTAGCACCTAAGTTGTTAGCTACACAATCAGGAAGGCCTCCGCTACAGAACAATCGTGATAAGACATTCTGATGGCAATCGAGTAAAGCATAGATTTTTTTGTTCTATTCCTTCTAACTTTAATCTGTTTTATAAGATATTTTGGGTGTGAGTGTAGACATGAATCTTATTCACAACTACTCCCCAACTATAGAAGATTACCAATTGCTTTGTACACGCGTTATCGACAATCCATCTTTACACATTTTGATGCAAACAATTCAAAAAATAGAAACACAACACTACAAAAAAACTACAAACTTATGTTATAGTCATACAAGAGTGCCTGTGAGACGTTCATATATTTATCGACATAATCTTTTAGACAAAGGCTAATAATAGACTTTTTCTCTGAGTATTGTCATCTAGTGTATGTGGTCCAAATATGAGATCGAACTATGGATCTATAAAGAAAACAAAGTTGAAAAGAAGTCCCTATTATGTTACTTTTGGGTTACCCTATATTGACATGTGCAAGTACATAGATTCTAGTATAGTTGATAGACAAGTATGATTATCAGTAAGAAACATAGTGAAAAAATGGATAATATGCAAAATTACATTATATCTTTTTTTAAACTCAATCTAAACCAAATCGAATTGAATCAAATACAAGTCTGATCCAATCGAATCAAATCAATTCAGAATTTTAAGAAAGCAGAATGAATCGAATCGAATTAAAAATTTTCTATTTATTTCGATTTCTGTCTCCTTATTATTTTCCTATAATTATTTTTTAGTAAATAATAAGGTAGAAAAACAAATATAATGGGGAAAAAAATGAACCTAACCATACACATATTTTTGATTTTTTTTTGAATATAAGAATAATCTTCAAATTTTTCTCCCGAAAATTTTTTTTTTATTTGATCACTAATACAACTTTCGACTTTAAATAATATATGATGAATTCTAGTATTGCAATTGACAATATATGGTTCAAAAATAAATCGAAGACGACTTTCATTTTTATTACCATTTCATTTTCACATCTATGAATGTGTTGCATTAAACATTCGTGTACATATTGCATTTAGATCTAGTTATTATTTATTTGATATTTCATTTTTTTTCATAATAATATTATGTGTTGTTAATTACTAGAACAATAAGTAGATTTCCTTGCAAAACTCTCTTTACTTAATTCATATATATATATTATCTTTACAAATAAATATACAACTGTTATGCAAGTATTTTCTAATTATAATCTGTGTCACTGAGTCAATAATATTGTAGAAAAATAAACTCATCAAAACTAAATATTATTTCTATATATCTATTTAGAATTAACCAATGATTATATATCTGTTGACACCAAAGACAGAAATATTTATGAAAAGAAATATATGATAGATACAAAATGAAAAAAAAACGGAGAACAAACTCCTGCAGTATCAATGGCCTAGGAATGACCTTTCCAAAATGTGACCATTCACTTGTTCAAGTATGCTTAAGGCTCAAACGGTATAAGACACGAAATCGTGATTTGCCCGATTTTACTATACGAACAAATATCAACTCATTCAGTTCGATGATACTGATAGTACAGTTCCTTTTCTTTCTTCGCTGACATATAAATGAAGCACACCTTTGTATTGCATCATTTTCATTATTTCATTAATAATATGGTAAACAAACGAATAAGTATTTCAATAAATATTTTAATTGAATCAATCAATCTTTAAGTGTAAATATGAGTCTTTTTCTGGGTCTGATTACTATCGAAGAGAAGACTTATCCATCCATTCCTTTATCTATATGTTTCTTTCTTCTTACTTCTCTGCGTCAATCAATCACTACACTCATAGCACAATAAAGATAGATATTTAAAAAAAAGTTCCACTCGGCATAAAATTTTTGATACTTGATGAGACATGTCACTATTTGCTTTTCAGTTTTCAATAAAACCAAAAAATCACTGTCTTAATACGTCTTACAAATCACCACGAACAATAATTCAGAATAAGGATTCGAGTAGAATAATTAAAGAGACACTCTATTTTATCTTAAAATTTTGATAAGATATGAGTGTTTATTGCACTTCTTAAAATAAAAGGAAAGATCATATATTTTATTAGTAAAGAAAAACATTTGCGATATTTTACCAAAGATTCTTGTTTGCTAAATAACTCATTCATTAGACTTAATCGAATATGCACTGCTATGATCAATAAATTTCTCTTCGATTATATTAAAAACTTTCGAGCAACATCAAACACATATAATTAACTACAAATGACTTAATGTATTAGAACACGCTGTTGCCGTTATCGCCATGCTTTCCTATCGAAGGACAAATATATCTCCAAAAAGTTGTATACATATGACCTACTTCAAAAAAAGCTGATTTTCTTTTTATAAAATCGAAAAGAAAGGAAGTGAGTTTGAATGTGTAACTTGCTTACCTATGGATGACTCAGATTCGATACAGATTAGTAATCGAAAAGCATTCTTATTGAGTCATTTGCATTTGCCAATATTACTCATCTAGCCATAAAAATAATTTTTTCCTTCATGCAAACGTTGACATAACATCAAACACAATTCATTGTGCGTCAGCAGTCAAGCGACTGTTTTTTTTTCTTTTCTTGTTTTTTTCAGTTATGTTGGCAAAATCAACAAATTTCGGATAAAACCATGAGAAAATACTCGTCTTGCTCATCGTTATTACAACGAATTCGTGATCAACATCTTCGAGATGCTTGGAATACGCAAATTGAATATATTCAAAAGGCATGGATCACTTTATTCTTTTATTTTGTTGTACTGTTGATATTCCAATGTCATAATCGAGTATACAATGCATGGGAAGGTCCATTTCCAATGGATCTCTATCAATTTCGAAATCATTTAAATATGAACTATAACTTGTTCGGTTTTAAATCATTTTTTTCATTTCGTTGGTTTCTTTTTCAACCTGAATATATTCAAATTGAATTGGGTAAAAATGTAATTGATCAAAGTATCGAGAATACATTTCGAGTGTTTTATGGTCATTATTCATACGGAAAATTATTATATACATTTAATCGAGTCGTAGAACCAATGATTGATACATCACACATGCCATTGTTTATTAAATTTTATGCATATAAACAATCATATCCTCAAATACATTATCCATATCGTTTTCAATCACTTAATATCAATACACTACGATGTATTGGCAAACAACTTGGAATTTCGTCAAGAGAATTCATACATTGGTCCGAAAAATCAATATGTAGTGAAAAGATTGAACAAATCTATAAACAAAATCCAAGTGTATTCAACATTAAAGCAATCTCAAAATGTGGTATTGTAATCGGATATCTCTATAGACCTACAAATGAATTTATATATCCAGGATATTCATATAAACAAGTTAAATTTAGCGATCATGTTCGAGTATTCGATGCTTCATGTTCCTATACTCCTTATATATCTTATGTTATAGTTAGTGTCTTCATATATCTTCTGTTCAAACATATTGCTTCTCTCATTCAATTCATCATTAATCTTTATTGCTTATCATCTCTAAGTTTACATCCTTCTATTCAGAAACAAATGGAAAACGCAAATATTGTCTCTTTGGAAAATCTAGACAATCTTCTGTTAAATACAACTTATGAGAATAATCATTGTGACCGTTTGTTTATAGTGCACGACAAATATCTCATCATGTTGATGATAGATCTGCACGAAAAATTAGAGGAAATTATTCGACGATTTTATGAAGATCCTCCATTCATTATTATTCCTATCGATATTATTAGTAACGTCAGATTGGATTACATTGTGCTTGAAAATAATAATCGCATTCAATACATTTATTTTCCTACACGTATATATAATAGTCGTTTCAATCCGGCTCATTGGTTACATCAACGATTGATGATTTTAAATTATCGATATCGATATAAGTATGTTCGAGTTGTTGCTTAAGTTGAGACAATGAAAAGATTTCGAATTTTTATGTCTTTTTCTAGTTGGGAACAACAAGAACAATTACGTTATGAACAAGAAACTCAACGCGCTCAAGGAGAAGAACAACGACGTCGTCTGGAACTTATCATTGAAGAAGAAGTTCAACATCAACAGCATGTCTATGGACACGACATCAATCGAATATTGCAAGGCATACGATCAGCATCGCCTCGTTTCATTGCACAATTTCGTTTGAATGGTTGGCAAATAGTCAGTCATGATCTCCTTGATAATAGATGTAGTATTTGTCTCGAAGATTTACAATTAAATCAACGTATTGCTCGATGGCCTTGTCAAGCTAGGCATACATTTCATTTCGATTGTATGTTAGATGTTTTACGAGCAGGAAATACATGTCCATTATGTCGACATCCTGTTCAAGCAGCAGATTTACCTAATGCAGAAGCTGTTGTTTGGCTCCTCTTAAGAACAATGATGCCTAATGCATCCACTTGAAAAATGCTATACTTTCCATCAATTTAACCATTTTTGTTTATATAACATTTTCAGTGCGTTTATTCTAATTAGGAATCCGTGAGACAGTCGAAAAATCGTTTTGCTACTGCTTCGTCTTGCCAAGGACTTAGTATAAAAATAGATGTCTTTTCATGCATTTTTTCAATCTTATGTAATAATTACTATTTCTTGTATTTCATAAGATCAAATAAATTAGTACATTTAATACATATAAATAGATTCAGAAAACAAAATAGTGAGCACGTCCACCATCATCAGGAAACAATAACAATAAAATAGAATATGAAAAAGTATTACATGTATATAGATGCAACTAAATTTTTTATATATTCTCTCTCTTTATTCAATAACATTATCTTATTAGAAAAAAAACTTAATTAGATCTATACACATGTAATCATTCTCTAGATTTTATTTTTATTGCTTTCTGATAATCATGGGCATGCTCACCAAAAGTTTTTAAAAAAATTTCGCATTTTTATAAAATTTTGATGTATTTTGTGGCAATTATATATTCAATTATTTATTTAAATATTATTTATCCTCTTCTTCCATCTAGATTTATATAAACTATAGTTATTCAAGAAGATGAGATAACTCATCAAAATTCATACTGTCTCGTACTCGCCGATTTGCGGACTTCTGATTCCAACTAATAAAATATTGTCAATCATAGTTACAATGACAAACAAAGGTTTGCATCTCGAGGTTTTTGCAGATATTTGAGGATGAAATTGAGAAAGAGCTCACATATCTTACATCAAATGGTATTTTTATTTCATCTCATTTAAAAGCCTTTTTTCGTTATCAATTTTTTCAATTGTTCATTGTTAAAACGGGTGATTGATCGAACCAATAAATACTGGACTACTACTTTATTTTGCAAACAGTCACTATATATACAAGTAAACGAGCTAGAAAAATTTCAAGGATCTTGGTAAAAAGCATGAATGAAAGAGAGGAATATCTGAACAATATTATAAAACGTATGACAGTAGAATAGAGAAAAGAAATTAATATCAAACGTAAGTGAATCACTCCATAAATAAGGAGCAACTTTGTTTGTGAGTTAGAAAAAATGAAGGAAACATGGTTGTGTTGTGAGTTATCGTTTGGACAGGTCTATTTTTCTTAAGATTTCATGTAGAGCAGTGTTGCAATCGGTAATAGTATACGATCGATCCGGTTCGATAGAGAATTTCTTACCGATTGGTATAGATGTTTTCAAGTTTTTGTATATCAAACCAGTTTTACTGATGTCAATGACTATTCCTATGAAGAAACAGGCATTAGAATATTTCTATTAAGCGAATATTCATCAAAATATGCCTAATATATTTTATCAAGTCACTTCTATATCAAGTTATATTATCGAGCCAAAATGAAATTATTATTCATTATTGTAAATTATTATATATTTATTTTCATTTTGTATTATTTATATCATATTTTTTCTAGATCTAAAAGAGATGACGAAATGTTTCTATGTCTGACGAACATTTCATTAGTATATAAAGCTAATATAGAATTTGTTTAGTGAATACAGAATTCAAACATTAAACACGATGAAGCTACTTTAACTATTGTGGAAACCCAAGTAGGAAAAGCCGAAAACTCTGTACTTCAGCGTATTCCAAGATTTTGGCAAATCCTTGAAGTATGCTAAAGTACGGAATTTTCACTTGTATCCCGTTGGGGAACCTCATCATCTACATGACACAGCCAAAAAACCGGCGTGTCGAAAAACCCATTAGGCCATTACAGACACATCGAAATCTTTGTCACAGTCTTTGCGAAATGTAGACAACTAATGAAAATAACTAATGTGAAAAATGATTGATTTGAAATAAACTTAGACACTTTAGAGTTAAAGGGTATGTTTGGATATTAGAAAGGAACACTGATAAGAACAAAATTGTTTTTACAAAATAGTTGACAAAAGTAATTCTAAAAATATTTGATTTGAAGAATTAATTGACAAATATCAAATAAATTTAATTATTAAGTTAAATGATGAAAAAATAAATGATCATGATATCGAAATTATTATTAATATAGATTTAATTAATAAACAATGTTAATCATTTATTTAATGAAATAATCATTTAACATCATATTCAATATCGAGATTATCTTCTTCCATTAGTATAAATACAATATCAAAGAAGTTGAGTATTTCAAAGAATCATTTATCTGATATAACTATAAAATATTTATCAGAATCATTTTCATTTAAAAATTCAACATTAAAAAAAAATTAGTTCTTTCTTCAAATGAAATTACAGATGACGGTCTTATTTATTTATCAGATATGTTATAAACAAATGAAACCTTAATAATAGTTGGATTACAAGATAATAAAAAAACTGAAAGTTATTCAATATAAAAATAAATTTATTGAAGAAATATCTTTATATTTAAATAAATTATTAACTGATCTAAGTATTGATTATATTGTTAATATGATTAGAAATAATCACTCATTAAAACATATTTTGGATATGGGATTATCAATTATCTGAACAAGGAAAATGTAAGCTTCAACAATCTATTCAATCAAACATCAATCAATTAGACTTTATTTTATTCAATACATTTTTGTTTGTTATTTTGCTACATATTAATCAAATCTGAAGTTTCATTCGTTATTGCCCAAGATGATTGAAATACAAAAAAAAAAGGATTCACAGGATATTTTTATTATTAACCATTGAAGTCGAAACTTCACATTTCAAAATTCCAATAAGTTCAAATTTAACTTTTACGATTCTGATTGATTGCTTCAAATATAGTTTTGATCTATTCAAATTGTCCATACTTATGTTACATAAGGAGAAAAAGGATGGTACATCATCTTGTGCCGTATTAAACTTATTTGCTTAACAATCAAAATGTTCTCCTTTATAATATCAAACCATTTTATTTTACTGTATGAAAATTTTCTTTAAGAAACCTTATTTCTTAAAATAATATACCTTGAAAATTATTATTTGACCACGCTTTTCTTCTCTAATTCTATGAGAAAATAGTTTAGTAATTTAGGATCATTATGAAGCAAGAAGAATTTCTATTGTTTTTTAACATCATAATATTTGCAACAGATCAATTATTATATAAATATGTATAAAAGTATAAAATAAAAGGAAAATAAAAATTATAATTCTATCATAGATAACAACCGAAAAGAAACTAACAATACGAAAGAATATCGGTCGGAATTTGGTGTAGAAAGGAAAGAATTTGTCATTGTTGCTTATTTGGAAAAGAAAACACATTTTCTTTCTTAGTTTCATAAATTATTTCATGATTTGGTGTCTTATAACTCAAATATTCTATATGTGATATAAGAATAATGTATAGGAATTAAAAAAAACCTATGATGAATACATTTGAACTCTAGATGCACTTCTATGAAACAGTTTAACTGTTGTTTAGTAGCCTTCAAATTTCTGAACTCTGTTTTTGAATGCATCTGCCATATATAAATTACGATTATTGTCAAAGATGGTCCAACATGCTCTTCTCAATTAGTTAGGACTGGTACCAGACAAGTCTTAACTCTGGCAATGGTTGTACCATTTGACTGATCAGTCAAGAAAAGTTGAATACGATTACTATTCGTATCAGCTAGATGCACGTTTCCCATGGAATCCTGAAAATATGTCGATGTACTACCAGTTGATTCAGTGATTCCACCAACAAGAGTCCAGCTAGTAGCACCCAATACCCAACGGACAACACTGTGAGAACCATAGTTAGCAATCAAAAAACTATTCGATGATGAATCTCATGCACAACTCAAAGGATAATTTAATTGATTGCTGTTGATTCCGTCAGTATTGCCACCAGCAACGGCAGATATCTCATGATCTGATGGCTGGAGATATCAGCGATGTAAAGTACACCTAAACTCAAAACCCATACAAGATAAGAAGGACTCGAGAATTGATTGTTTGCATTTCTGGCAGATTCTCAACAAAATTATATATGAGATTTCATAGGCATTCCAGCATAGTTTATAATAATTAAAAAGGAATATTTTTCAATCCTTGTTAGAGCTACACAATAGAATGACGCGATAAATTTCCGTTTAAATTATATCAAATGGAACAGAACGAGTATCACATAAAATTACGACATGATAATTTGCAAAAAATTGATAATCGGAAATGAAAATCTGATATTTCTCGAAGTCGTGCCACTGAGTTCTCATAGAGTCTTGAATAAATTTTGTTTATTCTAAATTTGTACTGCAACAAGATGTTTCAATAATTGCATTGAATTCACTTTCGTATTCGTCTAGGATGATCTGCATTATATTTGTATGAAACTTCTGATTTTTATTCATAGATATCTACCAAAATACTGGATGGCGCAGAAATTCATATTATGAAAGCATGTTGTAGTCGAGATATTTGAAGATCTCATTATTACGGGTAGTTTTGTGACTAATCGAGGATGATGTTGAAGATTTACCTCTGGTTAGTTTGAAAGCAGTCGAACATATTGTTTGTTTTGGTATGTCAGCGACCAATAACGGTTCATCATTTCTAGAATGATTTTAATAATCCATGTTTGAATTTGAGCACATTGTTACACTGCTACAAAGAACTCAAAATAGTGAGTGAATCGCATGACCAAGAAAAATATCATAAGTGTGCATGTAGTTGGAAGTAACAGAATTTGTTTTTCTTTCAGTATATCTATTATTTGTGAACTTGACTAGCCTTTCTATGTTGAGAAGTGCGAAAGTCTATATGTATTCTGCAACATCCTGGTAAAATTAAAATTTGAAGTTGGTTGGCCGAATAGATGCGGGTGTGAGTGAAAGGAAAACATACATCCTCAGCGACAGAGAATTATTCGCGTCCAGATTAACAATGCCGAATGAAACTCAATCTTGATCGTGTTCGATTGGCAAAAAGGAATTTATCTTTATCTATGAAAAGAATTTTCAAATTGCATATTGAGTTCATTCC